ACTTGTTAGCCCATTATGCATCTTGCAAATTAATTAAACATATAAGATCAGTAGCGAGTAATATAAACCATGATGGAAGCCATCTTTTTATGCTTCAATTAACATATCTTGCACATTTAATATTCTTGGAAGAAGTAATTCCTGCAGGTGAAATTCACTGAGCCTGGGATATGCCACGGGTTCGTCCTATGGATTGATTGGGTGATGGATGCAGACAATGCAATTGTGTTGTCAACTGGGCCGGGTTGGTATTTCATTTTTTCTTTTTTTCTTTTTTTTTGGGTACATGGAATAATTGATTATATAAGATAACTTTTTCCTTCCAAAATCTCTCTCCATCCATCCTAAAATTAGAACTTAAAATCTCTAACACAAAGACTTAAGTTCTTAACCATTGGGATGTCCTTTAGGGGACCTGGGTAGGTATTCTTAGAGAGGCTAATTAATCATCTTAATATTTGATAATTTTTTATTAAATTAAGAAATAAATGAGGAATATATACTTCTTTTAAGTATGCACGTTACATGGGTGAGCTAGACTGCCTGAGCCCAACCCGAAGTTGGGTTAGAGCTCAGCTTGGACGCCACATAGGCAGAGGTACATCCCTTGAAAGATAAGATGGAGTGGGCGATCTTAGCCCAAGTGCAATAGCCGAATTGTATTTGTAATTCATAGTCTTCCAAAAAAGGTTATTTATAAATTTCTCAATTTCAAGAGTAGTGATACAGAGGATTAACATTTAGGACTAATATATGATATAAGTATGGTTATTAAATGACTTTATATATAATATTATGAATTTAAAAAAAATAAAAAATTGTTTATTAAATAATATATAATTTACATTTTAATATTTTAACTAGTTTTTTTTAGCTTGTACATTGTACGAAATTATTTATATCTTATTTATATTACTTGTTTAATTTTTAATAATTTTTTAATAAAAAATTCTAAATTAATTTAACAATATTTCTACAAAAGTATTCGAAGAATTTGAGAATATTTTCATGAAAAGAATAATCAATTATTAGATGAAAATTAAACTAATACTACCTTTATCATAAAGAAAAGAGATTGAATTAACGGATCTCCAAATGTGAGAGTAACAAATAATCAAATAGGAAGTAAACTCTATACATAAATGACATCAATATAAGAAAACCAAGTTTTTTTTTTTAAAAAATAGAATACCGTCACTAAATTTCATTAATCGGTTGGGTAGAAGAGAAATAGAAAAAATAAAAGAAAACTAATGAAGAAATTTAGCATAAACAATATAAATTTACCTAATCTAGTATATACAAAAAATCTTAAGGAACCTCATAATTAGCACTTTTCTAGATAATACCTTTCCATCAAACCAAAACCAACATTAGATTTCAAACTAAAATTTGAAAACCCACCATAAAAAGCCACAAAAAATATCAAACTACCACCAAATTTTTTAATCAACTTTGTTTTTACGAAAAGAATAAGAAGCTACTAATGAAATTAGACCAATATTACTTTTAATGGTAAGAAAAAAATATAGAGTAAACAAATCACCCAATGTGAGAACAACAAATAATAAAAGGAGATGCAACAAGGTCCCTACAAAGAAAAAATCAACATAAGAAAATAAAATAAAGGTTAAAAAATAAAAAATAGAACAGCCTTACTGAATTTTATTTGTTGGTTAGGTGGGAGAGCAAAAGGAAAAAAGAAAAACTTCAATTAGACTATTTACTTCTAACAACAATCTAGTTATTGCTAGAAATGACGTTAGGAAGATGAGTGAAGACCAAAGTGCTGACATCTTTTTGGAGGATGAGATCAAAACGATCGGCTTAATAGCACACAATAAAATTAATCCTCCTCCTAATTAATAACATGAATAATAATGATAGTATAATTAAGGGGGTAAAAAAA